ATGAACATCGAATACCAAACATGACATACGCATAATCTTTCGGAGGCTCTCGCGAGCCTCACACAATTGTGGTTACGCTGTTTTTTGCTCCTCGACAAAGGGGAGCTCGTCCCTCGCTTCCTTCCCCGCGTGGTGCCAGCGGGGGGGGGAAAAGGGGGTAGGGGAAGAATGGGAGGAGGAGGAGGAAGACGGGGAGGAGAATGAGGATGGTGACGATAATGCTGCTGCTGCTGCTGATGAGGATGCTGATGCTGCTGATGCTGATGCTGCTGATGTTGCTGATGATGATAGGATGCTGGTTCTGATAGTGATGATGCTGATGATGGGGATGATGGTGATGTTGCTGATGATGCTGATGATGCTGCTGATGGTGATGATGCCGATGATGATATGATGTTGCTGATGATGCTGCTGGTGATGATGCTGACGATATGATGATACTGTTGATGAGGATGCTGGTGATGCTGCTGATGATGATGGTGATGATACTGATGATGATGACGATGCTGATGATGCTGAGGGTGATCATGCTGATAGTGCTGCTGATGATGCTGCTCATGATGATGCCAATGCTGATGCTGTTTATGATGCTGCTGCTGATTATGATGCTGATGATGGTGATGCTCATGACGATGACGATGATGATGATGCTGATGATGATATGATGATGATTATGCTGCTGCTGCTGATGAGGATGCTGATGATAATGATGCTGATGGTGGTGGTGGTGGTGATGATGCTGATGCTGATGCTGATGGTGATACTGATGATGATGATGATGATGATGATGATTATAATGACGATGATGATGATTATAATGACGATGATGATGATGATGGTGGTGATGATGATGATGGTGATGGTGATGATGCTGATGATGATGATGATGCTGGCGATGATGGTGATGATGATGATGCTGATGCTGACGATGCTGATGCTGATGATGATGATGATGATGATGATGATGATGATGGTGATTTTGATGATGATGATGATGATGATGATGATGATGATGATGATGCTGATGATGATGATGATGATGAATATTTTGCTGATCATGATGTTGCTGCTGATGATGATGGTGGTGATGATGATGCTCATGATGATGCTGATGATGCTGATGATGATGATGATGATGCTGATGCTGATGCTGATGCTGCTGCTGCTGATGATGATATTGATGACCATGATGATTATGATCATGGTGACGACGATGCTGCTGCTGCTGCTGCTGCTGATGATGATGATGAGCAGATGAGGAGTAGGGAGTGAGTATTAGGAGTAGTAAGATAATTGAGTAGTAGAGGAGTATGATGAGAGATTAGGTGGAGATAAGGGAGTGAGTATGAGAGGATTAGAGGGGAGGAGGGGGAGGAGGAGGTTTATTCAGGAGGAGGCTTGGATTATAAATGTATGATATTATTGAGTAGTCTTAGGATTACTACGAGAAATGATGGAGAGTTAACTTATTATTACTATTAATTAATTAATGCTTTATTGTATTGATTATTAGTAGTAGGATTATGATTGGGAGTAGGAGGAGTATGATCGAGTTTTTAGGATGACTACGACGAGGGAGTATGGAGAGGGAGTATGAGGTTGAGGAGGAAGGTAGGATGTAGGAGGATTGTGCTTAGACTGAAGAGGCGACAAGAATTAGGCATGAGGAGGAGGAGGAGGAGGAGGAGGAGGAGGAGCAGGAGGACGAGGAGATATTGAGTGAGGATCACCGGGCGTTGCGTGGGTCTCGCAGGTCATCACCGACGAGCCAGAGAAGAGGTGCACATACTACCAGACGGAATCGCAGAACGTTAAGGTTCACGACGAGGACGATAACGACGATGACAATGGCGATGGCAACGACGATGGTGACAATGATGACAATGTTGTTGATGACTTCGGCAACGGCGACGATGTTGATAGCGATGATGGTGATGGTGATGGTGATGGTGATGGTGATGGTGATGGTGCGCGCGATATTGATGGTGATTGTGGTGATAGTGATGATGCTGATGATGATGCTGCTGCTACTGATGATGATTGCATTGATGATGATGATGATGATGATGATGATGATGATGATGATGATGATGATGATGATGATGATGATG